GCCGACCCTGAAGAAGCTGGGCTGGATGTGAGGACAGAGTCAGGAACGAGGCTGGGGAGCTCTGGTTTACAACAATCCAATCTCACCTTCTTCAAAGGCCATGGGAACCACAGTGCATTTCTTGTTTGTTTTAACAGTTTTCCATTTGATCCCCGGTGGGAGCAGAAATAAAGGGGAAACCACGTCTCGTCCAGTCATGAAGGGAGAATCATAATGACAATGGTTAACATTTACTGAGACCCTGTGTTTAGTGCCTCGCATGGATGGAGACATCTGATCATTTGAACAAGTCTGTTAGGAAAGTCCTGTAATTACACTCGTGTTTGAAACGAGGACATGGAAACCACAGGGGTACAGAATAACAGGAGATCCATGCACAGAGGTATTTAACACAGGACACTGCGTAAGGAATGAAGACCCAGAAGGAGAAAAACCTATGTTCTTTATACTAGGGGAACCATGAGAGATAGCTGTGGAGAAGTAACTAAGCTATGTGGGAGATTTAAGAAAGATAGGGATTATTTATTTATTTATTTATTTATTTTGAGAGGTTTTTGCTATAGGGCGTGTGCACTCGCCAGACAGACAGAGACAGAGAGATAGAAAGCAAGAAATCACCCCCCAGGGGGAATGGCCATGCCGCAAGCCCTTCTCCTCCATTCTCCTCTCAGGATCTTGGGCATGCACGCACACGTGCTTTGCATGAGTTTAAGCCACCAGGTCTGGGACTCGAACCACGGTCAGCTACATGGAAGTCCAGCAACATAGCCATTATGCCAACTGCTGGTCCCTAAGATAGGGATTATTTTGAAAGGTCTGTTTGCTTTCAGTTTCCCATTCTTAGTGTTAAAAGTGTTACTTTAGGGCCAGCAGGTGACATGGAGGTTAAGGGGCTGGATCCCACATGGCCAACTGCACGTTTGCAATCTTGATCCAGCGGCTTGATAAACATGCCAGGCATGTGTGCATGTGTGCCCAAAATTGTGAGAGGAAAATGGAGAAGGGATTATGGTGTGGCCATCTCTCTGGGGCAGAGGGGATGTCTCACTCTCCCCGCCCCCCCCCCCATGATTGCACTTGCCCTATAACAATTTTTTTTAATGTTACTTTCCTTCTGATAGGAAGGGCACCTTCCATGAGGGGGTTTTCTCTCTTGCTTTAAAAGGGGGAGGGTCAGAGCTCCTTTCCTGCTATTATTTAAGTGACTTTAGCTCAAAATAATCCTCAAGTCGAAGTGACACCCTTCCGTGGGAAACTTGGGTGACAGACAGGTGCCTGCCCTGGGAGCTGCTCTGTGTCACTGAACACCTGCCTTCCACCCCTGGAAGCTTGGGTGGCCGGGGCACCATCTGCCCCAGTCTTGCAGCACAGTGTTTCGAGGATGCTGATCACTTTATCATCCTGGTAACAAGCTCCAAGGTCAGAAATAGAGAATGGAATTTATCAGCCTCTTGATTTTCAGTACCGGCAAGAAATTTCTTCCCTGACCCTGACGTTAAATCAGGAATGAAGACAGATGTGTCTGGGTTATGTGATCGTCTCTTTTTAATTGGTTGCACCTGCCAGCAGCTCTCTGTCCCCAGGATCAACAGGGCTCGCTCCATAATTTGCAGGCCCCAGTGAAAAGTGAAAACGCAGAGCACCTTGTTCAAAAAGCAAGGGGGGAAAAATCACTGTTAACGGTGCTAAAATGCCAAGCTTTTTCCTTTCTCCTGCAGTCTTTCAACCTGTCACAATATTTTTTATTTGCTGTTTAAAGTCATGTTAAGTAGAGGAAAATTAGAAATTTTAATTGTTAGTGTAAATTTTACCATTCATCATGATATCATATAATGCCAGTTTTAAATGCAAATAGCAGAGCATCTAACGTGTATGTGGAGTCATTGAAATGACACAGCTGGTGTCCCGTAATAGCTCCTGTACGCATTTTGTTTTTACCAGAACAGTGAAAGCACTGCCCAAAACCAACCTACCTCTTTTCATTTCACTTCTTAACTTGGGCGCATTCTACCAACTCTACCTTCAGTTTACTGAAGAGTAAGGGAGGCTTGAAAGGTAAAGGAGTTATGGGTTGTTCTAACTTTCCTTTTCTTTGATGCCATCATTTCCGGGTGAGTGACTGACTGACACAGGAAACTCACCTGAATCAAAAAGGAGATGGCTGGGTTTCTCGGTCATCTGTGTTCCTTAGAACACTGTTGTCTTTTGTCTGCCCTAGAAGCAAGTTCTGGTTTAAATAGAAGCGTGGCCTCTTGGGGCTGTCAGTGCCCTGCTTAGTTGAATACAGTACACTCCTCTTGTATGCATTCTGAGTCTTGCTGACCTCTCACACATGTGGGCCTACTAGAATTCACCAACGTTCTACTCTACACAAACGTTGTGATGGAAAGCACCAACATTGCATGCAGTCCCTCTGGTCACATGCTCACTCCACTATCCTATTGGATCTCACTTGCAAACACAAGTTCAACGACAGAATCATTTAGAAGTTCAAGATGGTGACAGAAGAGCACAGACCCTCCTGTGTGCGGGGCCTTGTGGGACTGACTGCATTGGTCGCACACCCATGAAGCTGGCTCTGATGATCATTATTACAGATAATTCAGAAAAGGCTGGTTTGAAGGGAGGAGTGGGAATGGAGGCAGATCACCTGCATGTCCGTTCTCCATATTTCCTGGAGGTGAAGGCCATGGAGGCTCAGCCTGGATGATGCAGTTGGTAGCATACTGAACTGCAGTGCTGGAAGCCATATGGCTGAGGGTTCAGATCCCTGGCCTAGTCAGCCTGGAACACAATGAGCCTCCAAGATCCTGACTATCTGGAGGGCTAGGGGAGTGGGGATTGCCTGTCAAGAGTACTTTTTCTGTCTCTCTCTTTCTCTCACGCATGTGCACCTGATCTCTGTCTTGAACAAAATGAATAAACTTAAAAAAAAAGACTGGCACAGAGGGCAACTTAAGGGGGCCCCTTGAAGGGGTGGGACATCCTGTGCCTTTCTCCTTACTCCCAGAAAGCTTCCCAGTCCACCAACGTCTAACCTAAGCAATGAGCGAGAGACTCCAGGATGAATTCAAGGCTCAAGCCCAGAGTAGCTTCTACCAGAACACACAGACCACACAGGAGAATGGAGAGGTGGGACTACCAAACAGAAGTTTGGCGATGACCCAGAGAGGACGGAGTAGATGTGAAGGAGGCTACTGGAATATCCACTTCAAAAATCCTCTCTGCTCTCAGGGCTGGCAACAGGACCCAGCAGAAAACATAAATGTGTGATTGCCAACTAGACTTTGACAGTGGAAAGTGGAGGGGTAAGCCTACCCAAAAGACATTTGAACTTATAATTAAGTAGGAAATGCTAGCCAACGGGGACCAGCAGGTGGCATGGTGGTTAAGGCACTGGACACTCCCACATGGCTGACCAGGGTTCGAGTCCTGAATCTGGTGGCTTGCTTTCTACTTCCTCTCTCTCTCATTCTCACCCTCTGTCTCTCTCTGGTCAAATTAAAAAATAAATGAATAAATAAATAAAATAAAATAAACAATTATTTAAATAAAAAAAAAAGAAAAAAAAGAAATGCTAGCCAAGCAAAAGCTGCATCTGTAGTCCATTTCACATATGTGAAAACTAAGAAAGAGGGGAATTAACTACCTAATTTTTTTTTTTTTGGAGAGGTTTTCGCTATAGGGCGCGTGCGCTCGCCAGACAGACAGAGAGAGACATAGAGACAGAAAGCGAGAAATCACCCCCCAGGGGGAATGGTCACGCCGCAATCCCTTCTCCTCCATTCTCCTCTCGGGATCTTGGGCACGCACGCACACGCGCCCGGTGTGAGATTTAAGCCACCGGGTCCGGGACACAAACCGCGGTCGACTACGTGGGAGTCCAGCGACATAGCCATTACGCTAACTGCTGGTTCCCTTAACTACCTAATTTTAATACTTGCCATGTAGTGAGCCCCTCTTGTGTACATCTCTCTGCTAACACATTTTACAGAAGAGAGAGAGTAGACTTCAGGTCAACTAATTTGCTGAGAGCTATGTAGCTAATGAGTAAAAGACCAGGATTTGGATCCAGGCCTATCTACTCCCATGCCTTTATTCTTTCTCAATTCCTATAGGGTAGATTGGTGGCATGGAAAAGAAGAAAACCTCCAGACCAGTTCAGAGCTCTGTTATGCTATGCATCAGTAAGAAGTTTTAGGAAACCATCTCTTATCATATGCTGTGGAATATTTAATCAAATACGTGGAAAGGGAGAAAGATTTTGTGAAGCAAATTCCTTAAGTGATAAAGTGAGTTGCCAGTGAATTTTATTTAGGGAAGAGGAGAACCATCTGCCCTGGGTATAGGCTCCCAAAAAGCGCAGGGTTGATCTTGCCTGGCTTGGCAAATGCCAGTGGCTTCTAGCATCCTGGCACAGGGACAGCAGTTTATAAACCCCTTTTCTATAAACTGTCAGACTTGGAGAGGTCGTGCGGGAAATCTGGACCTTCAAATTGGCAATGTGATCATAAGAGACGTTCAGCTCTCCCAGAAATGCAGGTCCTGGCTTGCGCCCTCTGTGTGGAAGCCCCAGGCAAACAGAGACCCTCTAGCCCATCTGCCAACTTGTGACATGAGAGAAGGTCAGGGTGTACGAAATGCTTAAGTAAACCTTTGTGAAAAGGAAATGGGGGACCAGCAGTTAGCGTAATGGCTATGTCGCTGGACTCCCATGTAGTTGACCACAGTTCGCGTCCCGGACCCGGTGGCTTAAAACTCACGCCGGGTATGCGTGCGTGCCCAAGATCTTGAGAAGAGAATGGAGGAGAAGGGATTGTGGCGTGGCCATCCCCCCTGGGGGGTGATTTCTTACTTTCTGTCTCTCTGTCTCTCTTAGTCTGGTGAGCAGCGCACACGCCCTATAGCAAAAACCTCTCCCCCCTCCCCCCCCAAAAAAAAGGAAATGGAAGGTCTGTGCGTTTCTAACCCAGCCTCACTCCTTCTCTTTGCAGCCTACTGCGTCTTTGTGCTCTTTGCTTTCCTGGCCCTGCCGCTGTCCATGGCCTTCACAGGTGAGCTGGCTGCTGAGCTGCTGGATGCACAGGTCGGCCAGGCCAGGTGGGATGATGGTAGACAGCCTTCATCCTCCTCTAGGATGACTCCCAGTCAACTACTTTCCATCAAAGAATAGTGTTATGAACACTTTGTTAAGAAGCTTTTTATTATTCATCTTTTTAATTGCCAGAGAGCATGTGTGCTCTTTGGAGAGAGACAGAGAGAAAAAGAGACAAAGGGAGGGAAAGCATCCCCCAGTGGGGCATGTTTATGCCACAATCCCTTCTCTTCCATTTCTCCATCTTGTTAGAATTAAAGGCAAGCATACACATGCACCCAGTGTGTTTTTATCAAGCCACCGGGGACAGGATTTGAATAGCAGTTGACCACATGGGAGGTGGCTCATGTAACCACTAGGCTATGGGGCTGGCCCCATGAACATTTCAAAAATAGAGATTCCTGGTCCTGCCCTGAAAAACTCAGGCAGTATGCCTGGAGAACAGACAGATATTTGCTTTTTTTTAAAAAAAAAAAAAAAAGAATTACTTATTTATTTATCATTATTTATTTATTTATCATTATTATTATTTATCATTATTATTATTTAAAAATTTGCTACAGGGCATGCATGCTTACCAGAGAGAGACAGAGAGAGAAAGAGAAAGTGTATTAGGCTCCAAGCTCACAGCACCCTGGAGCAGAAAGTGAAAGACCAGAGGATTTGTTGCAAATGCAAAAAAGAGAAAAAATAAATAAAGAAACAGAAAACAAGCTATGAGAGTCTAGGACTTGAACTACAGTTGGCCATATGGGAGTCCAGCACTTTAGCCACCACACCACCTGCTAGCTCTAGACTTCTCCTTTTATTATTATTATTTTATAATTATTTAACTTTATTTATTTATTATTATTATTATTAATTGGACCAGATAGAGAGAAGGGGAAAGTGAGAAAGCAAGCCACCAGGTCCAGGACTCGAACCTCAGTCTACCATATGGAAGTCTAGCCCCTTAACCACCATGCCACCTGCCAGCCCCAGACATTTGCTTTTAAAATCTGTCCCCTGATGATTCTGAGGGCAAAAGATTTCCCAAGGCCCCTTTCCAGTTTCTGTGTTCTCTTGTTGAAGCCTGTAGTGAGCAGCGTAGAAAATGTATCTCGTGACATGGTAATACATGGGCGCTTTATACATATTTTTGCTGAATGGATGAAGATTCCAAAGTCACACATATTAAACAACCTCATAATCCAGACCTGTGAAGAGGGGTAGGAGAGTCCTGAGGGGAAGCTCCTTGGGTAGCCAAAAATCATTGCGTGTCAGTGAAATTCATCTCATGTTCCTGAACATTGCCGATGGGACCCCAAGCCTGGTGTGCAGAACCTAGTTTCCCCAATTTTCCTGGAGATCTAGCAAACCCAGGGTGTTAGGCTCCAAGCTCACAGCACCCTAGAGCAGAAAGTAAAAGACCAGAGGGTTTGTTGCAAAATGCAAAAAAAGAGAAAAAAAATAAAGAAACAGACAAAAATGGCTTTCTAATTGCTTAATGTGTGCTGGGATGAGATGTTTCGGAACTAGATAGAGGTGGTGTTTGCAGAGCTATGAACATTCACCAAATGCCAACCAATCGTTCACTTTAAAATGTTGTTATATGGATTCCACCCCGATTTTAAAAAGCAGTAATACTAAAAGCAAAAGCTAAAACAGAAATGATACCCTTAGATCTATAAGGTGTGAAAGCTTACTGCCTAACAGTAAATAAAGAACAACAGCATTTTTTTTGGAGAGGTTTTTGCTATAGGGTGCGTGCGTTCGCCAGACAGACAGAGAGAGACATAGAGACAGAAAGCGAGAAATCACCCCCCGGGGGGATGGTCACGCCGCAATCCCTTCTCCTCCATTCTCCTCTCGGGATCTTGAGCACGCACACACACGCGCCCGGCGTGAGTTTTAAGCCACCGGGTCTGGGATGCGAACCGCGGTCAACTACGTGGAAGTCCAGCGACATAGTCATTACGCTAACTGCTGGTTCCCAACAACAACATTTTCAGAGTGTGCACAGAACCAAAATAGGTCTGCGCTGTTCAGTATAAGGGCAAACAATTCAACAACCTCAGTAAGTTCAGAAGCTATCATTAGAAGAGTGCAGTTCAAAAATTAACATGTATTGGGCCAGCCAGTGGTATGATGGCTAAGGTGCCTGGATCCCACGTGGCTGATACATAGTTCAAGTCCTGGACCTGGTAGCTTGGAAAACACACTGGGCATGTGTGTGCGTATGCTCAAAATCTTGAAAGGAGGGAGAAATGGAGAAGGGTTATGGCATGACTATTATCCATGGGTGGTGCTTTCTCGCTCTTTCTCCCTTTCTTTCTTTCTCTCTCTCACTCTCTTCTCTCTGGTGAGCACATGTACCCTCTGGCAAATTAAAAAATTAAAAAAAAAAAAAAGATTGGGACCAGCAGATGGTGTAGCAGTTATGTTGTTGGACTCCCACATGGCCATCCATGTTTCCAGTCCCAGACTCGGTGGCTTGAAACTCATGCCGGGTATGTGTGCGAGCGGGCCCAAGATCCTAGGAGGAGAATGGAGGAGAAGGGATTGCAGCATGGCCATTCCCCCTGGGAGGGTGCTTTCTTACTTTCCTGTCACTGTCTCTGTCTCTTTCTCTTTCTCTGTCTATGAGTCTACACATCCTAAGGCAAAGAAAAACCTCTCCAGAAAGTATTATTTTATTGCTCTGCTCTTTCAAGGAAAATTTGTACGATGTTAGATATTACTCTGCTTAGGATGTCAGGAGTTTCCTTCAAAGAGTGTTCTATGCAAAATCTACTGCATAAGGGAACTTTAGCGTTTGGAACCTGTGCGCATTATCCTGCAAACAAACTTAACTGGAACCAACAGGCTGCATTAACGAGATAAGATCCCACAAAGCCAATTCTCATGGACTTGGAATTAGTGGCTTGATCATAAGAGATGTTCAGTATTAAAATCAATACATCAGCCACACGAAGGAGGTATTGGAAAGGTACTGCTTATTGGTTATAGAGTTTGTATTTGGGGTGATGAAAACGTTTTGGAAATAGTGATGATGGTTGCACAAGATGGTGAATGTAATTAATGTCACTGAATTATACACAAAATGATTAAAATGGCAACTTTTTATTTAGATATTTTACTTCAATAAAAAAGTAAAAATCAAATATAATATTGACCCTCAAAAAAAGAAAAGAAAAATCACTGTATCTAGTAGTTGTTATCAGTATTACAAAGGAGAGGGACCAGCTGTTAGTGAAATGGCTATGTCGCTGGACTCCCATGTAGTCGACCGAAGTTCGAGTCCCAGACCTAGTGGCTTGAACTCACGCTGGGCGCGTGTGCATGTGTGCCCAAGATCCCGAGAGGAGAATGGAGGAGAAGGGATTGTGGCGTGGCCATCCACCCTGGAGGTTGATTTCTCGCTTTCTGTGTCTCTGTCTCTCTTTCTGGCGAGCGCACACGCCCTATAGCAAAAACCTCTCCAAAAAAAAAAAAAAAGAAAGAAAAGGAAATTATAATATTATAGATTAAACAAAAAGAACATCTAGAGTTAAGGTAGGTCCTCCCCCATAAGTGAAAAATACAGGGGGAAAGATGGCTTTTATTAAATTTATTTGAAGCCTTTTAAGCCATCTGTGCACTGATTGACTCTCCTGTGAGTAGCAGCTGTTGCCGAGATATAAGTCATTAGTCAATGCTCATTTCACAGCTGGGCTTTGAATTGAAAGGCAGTTTATATCCAACAAATTTGGCATCAAGTACTTAAAGGTCTGCACATGAAAAGGTTACTTTGAGACTTGGAAAATATTTCCATCTAACAACAAATTCAGCCAAGTATCAGAGATAACGAGACAGAGAAGTCTCTGTAGGTTGACGATTGGATCAATGTATATATTCACCTCTCCTCCGGTTTGGGCTCTGGCTTTATGGCTCTCTGTGCACCTAGACATTTTCATTCATTTCAGTGGTATACGATGTAACCATGGGAAAATGGTCTACTTCTGCAGAAGTACCAAGGCATTTGTGGGCAACAGAATGTCAAAATGAAGCTAAAACTTTCCATGTCGTTGGAATAGGAGCCTTTGGTTCTTCAGTGAGAATTCCTTTTCTTGGACTCCGCTGGCAAAGACATTAGTCAGGAGATTATGAGTGTGCTGCAGTAAAGAGTTAACCCTGGAACCTCAGTGACTTAACACTATCAAGTTTTATTTCTTGCTTATGCAAATTCCACTGTGGATCGGAACCGCCCCCCCCCAACCCCGGCTCTCCCCAAGGAATATAATAGCTTTGTACTCCAAGCGGCCTCTGTCTTAGAGTTGGCCATCTCAGCCTTCGGTTTTTCAGTGGTAAAGCAGGGCCATCACTGAAGGAGCTTGTATGCACTTCTTAATGCTTCGGCCCCACATCGTACAACTGTCCATTGGTCAGAACTAGTCACCTAGCCCTTGTACCCACAAAGAAGCTGAGCAATGAATGAGGGGCATACGCTGGACAGCCAGAATCTGTGCTCAGCAGAGATGTGCATTGGAACCCATCCTGAGCCTGGTCAGTGGAGCCAGAATGGTCAGTGAGGGGACAAGCATTTCTTTCCTGTATTTAAATAGATACGACATACCGCTGGTTAAAACAGGCCTGTAAGACAAAGGCCTGAGAAAATGAGAGAGCATTGCTTTCAGCAGAGAAAATTCCATCAAGAAAGGGTAGACTCGGGCCAGCAGGTGGCATGGTAGTTAAGGTGCTGGACTTTCACATGGCCGGCTGCGGTTCGAGTCCCAAACCTGTGGCTTGCTTTCTTATTTTCTCTCTCTCTGGTGAGTGCACATGCCCTATAGCAAATTAAAAATGATAATAATTTTAAAAGTTAATTAAAAAAAAAAAA